ATATTTTTATTGATTTCAGAGAGGAAGGGAGAGGGAGAGATAGAAACATCAATGACGAGAGAGAATCATTGATTGGCTGCCTCCTGCACCCCCCACACTGGGGATCGAGCCTGAAACCCGAGCATGTGTCCTGACGGAATTGAACAGGTGACCTCCTGGTTCACAGGTTGATGCTCAACCACTGAGCCACGCCAGTGGGGCCCCTCTCACATGTGAGGCTCTGTTCCAACCTGCCAGCCTGGTTGCCATGGCCTTTGGTTCTGAAAATGTCTGTGCTGCCATGAGTCCTCTGCGATTCCTATTATTCACATGGGAAGCAGGGGGCAGGGAGGAAGTGGGGGTGCTTGGCCTCCTTCCCACTGTCCCCAGCCAGTGCTGGGACCTGCACTGGGGCTCTTGGGGCTCCATTCCTGACTGCACCATTTCTCCTTATCAACAGTGCTCTGCCCTTCAAAACAGTGGCTTGGAGCTCAGCCTTTGAAGTGTGGGCTTGGTGTCCAGGGGGAGAAGCACACTAAGAAGATGGCACAGATTCCTGTAGCTAGAGCTGTGGTCAGCAAACTGCAACCCTTGGCCAAGTCTAGCCTTCAGCCGATTTCTATTAAGTTTCATTGGCACCTGGCCACGCCCATTTATTCACAGGTCACCCACAACTGACAGGTTATGACAGACCATAGAGCTAGCAAAGCTAAAAATACTCTCCTACCCCCGGCCTACTGGGTGGGGGCAGCCTGGACTGTTCTGGTGGTCAGAACCCCAGCTGGCTGGCCGCTTCACAGATTGTTTCTCCACAGGGACGGCTGACGGGCCTGGGTGGAGAGGACCTTCCCACCATCGTCATTGTGGCTCACTACGATGCCTTTGGAGTGGCTCCTGTACGTATACGCTCGCCTCAGGAGGGGAGGTGGGTGCCTTTCCTCCCACACTGCTCAGCCCAGCTCAGACGCAGAAGCGGCTGTCTGTGGACAGCAGCTGTGGTCAGAGGAGCAGCGCCCACTCTGAGAGCCCTTTAGGCATTACCTCAGCTTCTCTTGACCCTGCAGGGTGGGTGTCATCTTCCAGCTGAGACAGGCGAAACCAGGGCGGGTCTCATGGACAGGGTTCCATTGCAGATAGGTGGCTGGGCCTGGAATAGAGCCCGGCGTGTCTGTCAGGGTCTCCAAGAGACTCCGTCAATAACTCACCGAGAGTACCCCAGGGCTCAGCAGATGGGTGTCCTCACGGCCATGTTTGTGCAGAGACATACTGAGCCAGGGGTAAAGCGCGTGGGGCAGGTCGGGGTGGGGACCAGGCACAGCTTCCAGAGTCCACAGCACTCACTCCCCCAAAACAAGAAGTGACCATGCATGTGAGATGCAGTCCCCAGGGGCGCATAGAGACCCAGTGCCCAGGGTCCTCACTGGGGGCCGATCATACAGGGCCCTCTGCCTGGCAAGTCCGAGATCCAGAATCCGGAGGAGAGCACGTGCACAGCATGAGTCATGTGTTGGCACAGACAGGTTATGCCCGGGAGCCCCCCTTCAGTGAGGGTGGTAGGAGCCCCCAGAGTCCAGTTCCAGACATCGCCCAGGGCTGGCCTTGTAGGCCGGCTTCTCTGAGGAGAGAAGTCTTGCCGGGAGCCGGTCCATCCTTGCTGTTTCAAGG